TGATACGAGACAAATACGCCAACTGCTGTACCGTCGACCATGTTCTACAATTTCTACAATGTTAGTTTCGAACTGAATGGTTCACAGACTTTGATCAGAAAAAATATGAAAAAAGCGTTTTTTTCAGACTTAAAGTATTCAAGGAAAGCAAAACCATGACACAAGAGAGAGAGAGAGCAAAAACTGGTTTAAGCACTTCGAATACAAAGAAAGTAAAAAACTAAACATCGACTTACTGTGATAGATGTCCTGCAGAGACCCACCTCCGCAGTACTCCATGGCGATCCAGAGCTTCTCTCTTCGCAGGTAACTGCCAAAATATGCGACAATATTGGGGTGCTTGCATTCCCTCATCATTAGAATCTCTTGCTGAATAATTGAGAAATCATCACCTGTAAGAAAAGATATCAAATGTTTATTCATGTATTTCACATTAGGAGAACCTCTCCACATGTATGTTGCAGGTCCAGGGAGAGTAATAAAGTTAGTTCTTCATAAATAATTTCTGTTATCGTTATGAAATATTAATTTGGTTCTAAGAAAGTAGATATTGGTCTGTGAATTAGTTATTGGCATGTTGCATTTAATACAGAATTTAGCATTCAGAGTAACATTCAGTATATGTAAAAATCAGCTAAGAATATGTCAGCGATGTTTTCTGATTCAATGCCTCCAAAACCAATTAGTTACAAAATGTCTTATAATACTGTGGAATACTTTATTTTCGCTGGAATTAATTTTCGCTGAAAAGGCTTTTTGGGCATTTTGTATGGAATTTATTTTTACTGATTTTGAATGAGTATTATGTGAAATATAGGAAAAAAAGTATATTCACTAGATTTTGTTTTCACGAAATCATCCCTTCAGCGAAAATAGCGAAAATAAATTCCAAGCGAAAATAAAGTATTCTACAGTATCGCTATTCAGGATAATACTATACTTATTGGTTTTGTGGCTGCGGTTGATATGCAGTATTATTTTCCCTAAGTGACTTCGACCAATAACAGTTTACTTCAATGGGTACAATCTTTCTGAATATCGGTCTCAACTAAGACTAAGACTAAGAGCAAAGAGTGTACCTAGTATTACTGTATTTGTTGGATCTATAAGCTGATTATTACTTGCAGAGAATGAAGTACCAGTATGTTTACATCAAAGTCATGATGTACCATCGCAGTACAGATGTCCACCAGGCGTACTGATTAAAATTTAATATATGACCAGCGTGTTTAACTAAATTATTAAATTTGATTATGTAAATTCACAGTATGGCTTGGCTAGACAACCAAATACCATGCATGTACATGTGTAAAGGCAGCGTAAACATTTTATTTTCTGTGAATCTCGATACATCGGTTTTCCTAGTCAGCTACATGTACATACTAATAAAAGTTGATATTTTTGTTCTAGTTACCGGTACATACATGATGAATCTACCCATTTTAAAACAGTTAAAGCCATGGGAACAATTCATTTTTGATGATTACGGTATTCACCCGCTTTATCAAGGTATTAAATAGCTGACTAAAAGCCCATTGAACAGGGTGAGTACCTTAGCACCCTATGCACAATGTAACTCAGTGCTTAAACTTGCAGTCATAAATTCCTGCAATACTACAACAATAATTGAATTCAAGGCCAATTTACAAAAACACAATTATTGAATTTTTTAAACTATGTACTTTATTTTATTGTGGGTTTTTAAATGTTTTGTGTGTGTACCAACATTCCGGATTTATCCAGTACTTCAGATTTGAAATTTCATGTGTGGAGTGATATTTTAAAGTTAAAGTCGGGTTAGAAATGTAAAACACCTTTGCATGCGGAAATTTGAATTTTTTCTTTGATTTTTCAGAGAAAAAGAGCAGGAGAAATGTATCAGAGAAATCTGCCCACATGCTGTCTTCTGTGGCTGAGCAAAGCGTACAAACAATATGCAACAATTCCAG